CCTCTGCCTCTTGAGTGCTGGGATTAAAGGCATGTGCCACCACTGCCCAGAGTGCCTCAATTTCTTAAGTAGCTGAAATACAGGTGTGCTAATTTAAGGGAAGGGACTGCAGAAAAGATTTTACAATTATATTAGACAGAAGAGAGAATATGGGATTCATATTATGGTTATACATCAACTTCAGAGTAACAGAGATGAAAGTCTTTATTCAAAATAGAATAGTGATGTGCTGAACTGAACATGGAGCTACCTCAGTTTTCTCTATAGAACAGTGAGTATGAAAAAACAAGAAATGGTAGGGTATGAAGAAGAGAAAGGTTTGGATAAGTGCAATGAGATCTTATAGAAAAAAATTAGGAGTGGGCCATGGGACACTAGGAACTTTAATAAACTTATGAGAAATATAAAACTATATATATAGAATACTTAATACCTGTTTAGAGTGTAATATAGAATAAATATCTATTTCTCTGCTCTCTGAAAACATATTTATCTTGCTCATTTAAAGTTACACAGAGTTGTGACAAAAACAAAAATAGACATATTAATTGCATTTACTCATGTGGGCATGGCCTAATGCAAAACAGACAATATTGACTTGAATGCTTTCAAAATTCAAAGGAGATTAAATTAAATTATAAGGCATAAGTATTATAAATTCTAGTTAACCAATAGCAGATATAGATTCAATTATGAATTTATTATAATTAAAAAATACTCACCTGAGCACCTATAATTCAACATTTTGTCAGTTGCTTGAAAACCAACTTCTTTATCTATTATGTCTAAACACAATGTAAATGGATCTGAAAGAAAATGCAAAACATAAGCTTTTTTGTTTAATAAAATGTTCTGAAATTTATAATATTTATTAAGCCTCAATTTTTCATACATTTTCTCTTACTACTATATATCCAGTCTCTTAGTGGATAAAGAGAAAGATTCTGGATATGAGTAAATAGTAATAAAGGCAGGTGTGCCAGAGTCAAAAGTATGGCTTACATAGGGCAAATAACCAATTTACATTTGAATTTCAGCCATCCAAATACCTATTTTTTTGTAAAAACAAAGAAGAAACATTTTAAATCATACCTGTTACTGGTACCTGCTGCTTTCTATTTTTGACAGTGTGAGTCGGATGTTTGAAAACATCGTCACTTAAAAAAAAAAAAAAGGATACTACATTACTAGAGGTAAAGAGTCTATGGTATGGGGTAAATTTTGAACAGTATGGTGGTTCTGAATGTCCATCAAACAGATAGAGCTGTTTCCAAAATCTAGTACTATAATCTGAATGTTAAATGTGCCCCAAAGTCCATTATTCAAGCCCTGGCCCTTAGTTCGGCACTATTGGGAGATTTTGAGATGTTCAGGAGGTGGGGCCTTGTACAAGGTCTTAAGGTCACCAGGTATACACCCTTGAAGGGGACTTGTGCAACTCTGGCTTGTCCTAGTTTGTTTCTTGGCTCATGAGGTGAGTGGTTTGCTCCAAAAGATTGACACCCCATGCAGCCCTTGCTAGAGACCTCAAAGCAAAGGGCACTCAGCTTACCATAAGTTACTCAGACTGTAACTTCCCAAACCATAAGTCAAACCTTTTCTCTATAAAGGTTAATTGCCTCAGGTATTATGTTATAATGACAGAAAGCTGACTATCACATCAACAAATTTGGTCAAAGTAGGATCTGCAATAGTCATAGCCTTGTTTGTAGATGTAAACAAGACTCCAGAGAGTAATAACATTGATAAAAATGACAAAAGCAAATATTATTAAAACAAAACAACAAACAAACAAACCACTAACACAGGGCTGAGGATGTAACTCCCTTTTTAAAAACAAAAACAAAAATCTCCTTTATCCTAGACTGGCCTTATACTCACTCTGTATTAGAGGGTGACTTTGAATTTTTTATCCTGCTGCCTCTACCTCCTGAGTGCTGGGATTAAGGTATGTGTTACCATACCCAGTTTATGTGGTACTGGAGCCTTGAGTTTGATTCCTAGCATATGACAAAGTGTGTGTGTGTGGGGGGGGGAATAGATGAATGGATTATAGTCTGAGTTATTTAAAAAAATACAGGAGAAAACATTTAAAAGAAGAAAAGATGGGCTAGGGATGTAGATGGTAAAGGGTCTGCCTAGCATTTGTGAAGCCCTGGTTCAATCCCCAGTACTACACAAACTGGGTATGGTAATTCATAACTTAATCTCAGCACTCAGGAGGTAGAAGCAGAAGGATTAAAAAAATTCAAAGTCACCCTCTAATACAGAGTAAGTTTAAGGCCAGTCTGGGACACAGGAGACTTGGTTTCAAGAAGAAAAAAAGAAGACGAGGAAGAGAAGAAAAAAGGAAGAAATGAAGGCCAAAAGAGAAAGAATAAAATCAGTGAGAGAACATGGAGGACAGTATAGCAAACAATAATCTAACAATAATCATTGTTAATATCTGTGATAGTTTGAATGTAATTGGCCCCCAAAAACTCATAGGGAGTAGTACTATTAGGAGGCATGGCTTTGTTGGAGTAGGTGTGGCCTTATTGGAGGAAGTGTGTCATTGTGGGGTGGACTTTGAGGTCTCCTTCTCTCAGCTCTTTCTCCAGCACCATATCTGCCTGCATGCTGCCATGTCCCACCATAATGATAATGGACTAAACCTCTGAACTGTAAGCCAGCCCCAGTTAAATGTTTTCCTTCATAAGAGTTGCCGTGGTCATGGTGTCTCTTCACAGCAATAGAAACCCTAACTAAGACAATAGCATTTTGTAAACTTGGCATAGGACATACAACAGTAATCCCAGGATTTGGAAGACTGAAATAGGAATATCATGAGTTGTAGGCCAATCTGACCCAATCTCAGAAAAAAAAAATTCCATATATGGAACCACACTTTTGTGTCTGGTAAATAAATGACTGATGAGGGTTGGAAAGATAGCTCAGTGATTAAGTGGTCTGCTTCCAGAGGACCCAGGTTGAATTCCCAGCACCCACAGGGTAGCTCACAGTCATCTGTAACTCAAATCTTAGGGGATGTGACACATTTTTCTGGCCTCTCTGCAGGCCCCAGGCATGCACATAGTATACAGACACACATGCAGGCAAATACCCATACAGAAAAAATAAAATGAAAAGAAATAAATATAATATTTAAAAGAGAAAAAAGATATGGCAAGATATATGTTTATTTTGTATTTTGAGACAGAGTCTCACACAGCCCAGGCTGACCCTCAACTTGCTTTGTAGTTGAAGGTGACTCTGAGCTCCTGATCTTCCTGCCTTTACTTTCTGAGTGCTGGTATTATGGGCATGTGACACTATGCCCACTTGATGCAGTACTGGGAATCAAACCCAGAGCCTTGTGCATACTAGGCATGCATCCTACCAACTGAACTAACTCTTTCATCGTAACTAACCCTTTTATGGGGGCCAATTTCAAACTACCACAGACACTAACAATGATTATTGTTCATTTCTAGCCCTGTGTAAATCTATTTGTAGGAGGTACAACACAGAAGAGAAAAATATATAAAATGCAAGTATGAGTAACTCAAACTGACACTAAAATAACATTAATAATAGCTAAGAGAGAAACATGGCCAATCTTAGAGTCAGAGAGCTGGCTCTGCAGTTAAGAGCAGTGGCTAGTTAAGAGCTCTTCTGGAGGACAGAGATTTGATTCCCAGCACCCACATGTAGGCTCACAACTGTGTATAACCAGTCCCCAGGGATCCAGTGCCCTCTCTTCTGGCCTGTGTAGACACCAGGCATACACAGTGCATAGACACACATGTGAAAACCATTCATAACATAAGAAATAAAAACAGGATCAATTGGAAAAGAGAAAAAAAGAGTATGGGTGAAAGCCTTGGAATAGAAGGCAAGAAGGCTGGCCCAAAACCATATCTCAGCATTCTGCAATTTCCTATCCCTGAGAAGTGAGGTTAAAATTACCACTGAGAATGGACTTGACAGAACTTCCATGCAGCACTACTAACCTGCTCAATTTTCTCAGTTCGGACAAAAGTGTAAATTTTCCTTTGGCTTGTTTCTACTTTTCTTTTGGACACTGGTCAAAAGCCTAAGCATGTTTTCCTTGACACTCTGGACTATTTCTCTTTCTTTGAAACCCTCTTCCTCTTCCACCAAAAAGCTCCTAATTGACCCACATTGCTCAGCATGCCAGCTTTTGCAACTCCTAACTTAAAAACTCACAGCTTTCTCTCTTCCTCTTCTCTATTTCTTTCATGCTAGCAGATGCTGAGATTAACAGCTTGCTTGCCTTGTTTTTCTTTCAAACTCTAATAAAATTGTCCTTGAGCTAAATAATTTTTTTTTTAAAAAAGACCTTGCAGAGGAAGGAGTAATAATATAATCCACCTTCCTGATACTTCGTTTGCCCTGCAATCTGACCAGAGCATAGTCTCCTCTTCATTTTCCTTAAGTACAACAGCCATCAGACAAACACAAGAAAGGGTTTAAGAAAAGCTACATGCCTACATCCAATCTTACATGCTACCTGTGAGGGGAAAAGAGCAGTACTGAAAAAATTTTTTGGATTTTCATCAAACTCAACTCTCTTTACCACAGTAAACTTGAAAACTGATTTTTGTCACATTGCTCACAGGTTCAATGCTTTCATTATTGCTTCAAATATAGGAACTTAGTTTAAGTTTTTCTTTTGTGAGCATAGCTTCTAAAATTCAAATTTGATTGTCTTAGGGTTCCTACTGATGTGATGAAACACCATAATCAAAAAGCAAGTTGAGGAGAAAAGAAATTGTTTGGCTTACACTTCCATGTCATAGCCCATCATTGAAGGAAGTCTGGACAGGAATTCAAACAGGGCAGGTACCTAGAAGCAGGAGCTGAGGCAGAGGCCATGAACGAGTACTGCTTACTAGCCTGCTCTCTACATGGCTTGCACAGTCTTATAGAAGCCTGGACCACCAGCCCAGGAATAGCAACACTCACAATGGGTTGGGCTCCGTCCCATAAACCACTAATTAAAAAAAAAAATGCCCTACAGGCTTCCCTACAGCCCCAGTCTTATGGAGCTATTTCCTTAATCGACGTTCCCTCCTCTTAGATGACTTTAGCTTGTATCAAGTTGACATAAAACTATCTAACACAAGTATTTCACTCAATTTAAAGTCTTCAGGAGCTTAGGACATACTTCAGTTGGTAGAATGCTTGCCTAACATGCATGAAGCCCTGGCTTTGATCACTAGCATCAAATAATCTGGGGATAGTAGTACACATAAGGGTAACTTCAAGGTCATCACTGGCTACAGAGGTAGTTGAAGGCTTTCTTGTTATTCGTGAGACCCTGTTTCAAAACAGAAAATAAAGCAAAAATGTCTTCAATGGCTCCCCACATCCTGAGAACAACATGCAAAGCCTTTGATAAACTACAATCCATACCTCCTCATCTAAATTCATTGGTCAATTAAAAAAAAAAAAACCTTTAGAGCTGGGGCTGTAGTTCAGTTGGTAGAGTACTTATTTAGCATCAGTAGGCCAATCCCCAGTAGGTTCAATCCCCAGCACTGTAAAACCTGGGTGTGGTTATACATGCCTGTAATATCAGCTCTTGGGAGGTAGAGGTAGGAAGATCAGGATTTCAAGGTCATCTTCAGCTACATACAACCTTGGAATATAAGAGATCCTGTCTCAATTTTTTTCCCTCTCCCATTCATGCTCATGGCAAGCAACCTTAATGAAGGGCAGTGAGGCACACAAGCACATATACTAAAAGGCATGGGAATAGGAAGGAGACATACTAGGAAGAAAAAAGGGATTGGCAGGAGGAGGAGGGAATAAGAGTATTCTGAAAGGGAAATAAGATAAAGTACGTTTTATATGTATGGAATTGTAAAAGGATAAATACACTTGGGGAAAAAAAGGAAACAAAAAGAATTCTTACTTTAGGCTCCTCCCAAGACCAGGTTTAATCATTCCTATATCCACAGTGCTTAACAACATGGCACACAATAAGTACTTATTGAGTAAGCAAGCGCTATAGTCATTAAACTATACCTTGATTGAGAAACAGAATCCTTTTGGTTAAAGGTCATTTTTTCATTTAAGATTTGAGTGCAGCTTGAAGTGGCTTTATGTAAACTCTTACTCTGCCCTCTCTCCCTATAGCAAGGATTAAGGGGATTTGTGTTCTTTTTCAGAGTCTTCAGTTGGTTTTCATTTGCACAAGCTTTAGATATGATTCCACTGGACTTATAACTAGGATGCTGTCTAGACTGGTTTGTATCCTTATTTTCTGCTTTGGTACCTCCAATACTATCTGCACAGAGATGTTTCAAAGTGTTCTGTATTTTTATTTTCATAGATGAGGTATTATCCTTATATTGTCCACTTTGTAATTTCTCCTACAATATAAAAAATAGCAAGTAAATAATTTTAATACAATCATTTCTTTATAATATGCCTCAAATTTCCTTTATTATATAAAAACTGTATACGTTTTAACATAACATTTATAATAAAATGTAATGGGTAGCTGTTCCAGTTTTGACCTGGAAGTACTACCCCCCTGAGGCTTCTAGTAACTGTCAGGCCTACCTATGGCCTGCCCCTGAGGTTGGGCCAAAACGGGAGCCCTTAAGACCCAAGATCTGGATGTGCCAGCTCTCTTGCTTCCTGGTGATCCTGGATGCTGGATGGCAGACCAAGCAGAGTTCTCTGGAGAACACCACTAGACTGCACTTCACCTTTCCCAGACCCTGTCACCTATCCCTTTATTTGTTGTAAGTAAAACCCCCTAATAAACCTCCCTTTTAACTATGTGGAGTTGCCTTAATAAATCCCCCAATAATAAAAGGAATAAATTACATTAGGAAGAGAAAAAGAATTTACTTAATAAATGATATTAGGTTACTTGAGAAGCTATGGGGGGGGGAATATAGCTATATGAATATAAATGTAGCTATTTCACAACAATAAGGTAAAAGTGAACCAAATATTTTTAAAATGTTAAATGAAATTACACAGGCCCAGGGAGATGGCTAGGTAGGTAAAGGTGCTTGCTGCCAAGCTTGACGACCTAAGTGTGATCCCCAGGACCCACATGGTAGAAGGAGAAGACTAGCTTCAACAAGTTGTCTTCAGGCTTGAGCACACACACACACACACACACACACACACACACACACACACACACACACATAAATAAATAAACAAACAAACAAACATTTAAAAAAAAGTACAGAGTGGGAGGGAAGAATGGGGGAGAAGAACTGAGAGGGGAGGATGTGAGGGGAGGCTGTGGCTGGGATGTAGAATAAATCAATGAATTAAAAAGTATAGCCATTGTAATAGAAACTGTTCTCAAGGGGTAGAAGACCTTTCTAAATAGTATGCAATAGCTACATCATAAAAAAAAAACCAATATGCTTGATCATATAAAATATCTTTGAAAACTCCCCTAAAGACTAAGGACAATGAAAGGAGAATGGACTTAGAGGAGGAAAAGGGCAAGAAGCAAAACCAATGGGAACCAAGACATAGAAAAATCATACATAAAGCATGTACTAGACCACGGGATAATTCTTTTTTCCCCCCAAGATAGGGTTTCTTTGTGTAGCTTTGGCTGTCCTGGAACATGTTCTGTAGACTAGTCTGGCCTCAAACTCACAGAGATCTGCCTGTGATCTCTGGAGTCAAAGGTGTGTGCCACCACATCTGGCTAACTCTTAAATAACACCAATAAAAAGATCAACAACCATATGGTAGGGTAAGCAAAGGAGATAAACAGTTCACTGGACAGGAAACAAGTAGTTCTTTTTTTTTTTTTTTTTTTTTTTTTTTTTTTTTTTTTTTGGTTTTTCGAGACAGGGTTTCTCTGTGTAGCTTTGCGCCTTTCCTGGAGCTCACTTGGTAGCCCAGGCTGGCCTCGAACTCACAGAGATCCGCCTGGCTCTGCCTCCCGAGTGCTGGGATTAAAGGCGTGCGCCACCAACGCCCGGCTTTTTTTTTTTTTTTTTTTTGGTGTAGTTCTTAAACATATGAAAAATCCCTCCATCTCACTGTAATAAAAGAAATAGCTACTGAAACTACACTGCAACAGCTTCCTTCTCTACCAAGACAAATTCAAAGCATGTGGAGAAACAGACAGTGTGAACATTACTGGCTAGAGTGTATACATGTATCCATGACTAAATAACTTGACAGTTAACTTTTTTCTTTCAGACAGGATGTCATTATGTAGCCCTGGCTGGTCTAGAACTTGCTATATCGACCAAGTTGGCCTCAAACTCTGCCTCCAGAGAGGGACTAAAGGCAAAAACTCTATGCCCAGTCTTTAAATTTTTGTTTTACTTCTGTTTTGACAACTTTTATAATAAAACCAGTATGTATAAGAAAAACCCTATGGATAACTTCTATGTTGTGCAATATTAGTTGAAGATGTGTTACATTTGTTTATGCTGTGGAACATTTGTTTAACGATGTGAAGATGTGTTGTATTTTTTAATACTGTGTTTGTTTAACTCTGTGAAGCTGTGTTACTTTGCTTGTCTAAAACACCTGATTGGTCTAATAAAGAGCTGAATGGCCAATAGCTAGCAGGAGAAAGGATAGGCAGGTCTGGTAGGCAAAGAGAATTAATTGGTGGAGAAATCTGGGAAGAGAAGGTCTAAGAATGAGAAAAAAAAAAAAGGAGAGAAGACACTAGGTGCCAGCCACCCAGCTACACAACAAGCCATAAAGTAAGAAGTAAAGAAAGGTATATAGAATAAAGATAAAAGCTCAGAGGCAAAAGGTAGACAGGATAATTTAAGTTCTGAAAAGCTGGCTAGAAACAAGCCAAGCTAAGGTCAAGCAGGTGGTGGTCTCCAGAGAACCAAACAAAGCAGCAGTTTCACATTGGCTTGGACTTCACCACATACACCAGGATAGCTGGCTTGAAAGCTTCCAGGGATCTGTTTGTCTGCTACCTGGATTACAGGTGTGCACCACTAATCCCTAGATTTTTATATGGTTTCTGGGAATCTGAATTCCAATCCTCATGCTTTCAAAGGCAAGTACTTTACTGAGCCATCGACAGCTTGAGATGTAATTTTCATTCTATTCACTTCCTACCTAATTCAGTGGTTTTTAGTTAATCACACTATTTGTTCTTTTAAATTGTGATAAAATATATAACAATATTTCATTTAAACCTTCCTTACTTTTTTTGAGACTAGGTCTTATTTTGTAGCCCTTGCTGGCCTAGAACTTGAGTGGCAGTTCCTCAAAAAACTAAACATAGAATTACACTAGACTATAACTCAGCAATTCTACTTCATAAGAAGTGCAAGCAAGGCTCAAACAAATATATGAGGTATGTGTGTGCGTG